CTACACACACACACACACACACACACACACACACACATACACAAATAATAATTTTGTGAATTCCTTCTTTATACAGTTTTCCAGCATGCTAAGAGACAGAAATAGACAAAAGACACAAATAAATAGTATGAAATAGACAATAAAAAGCACACTGTGCAGTCGTGTCCCAGCTGTACTGCTGTATCTTTGCAGACTTTACATCTGAAGCTTTGTTATAATAATAGAGTATTGAGGAGAACGTGCTGCTTGGGTAGGCGATGCTGTCAGACTGCTGTTGTTTACATTGACAGACTGTTGGTTTGGGTTATACGGAGAGAAAGAAGTGGGCTTTCTGTCATGCAAGAGGATGATGATATATTTTTTAACAAATTGTTTATTTGCATGTATTCTGTAGGTATTTGAAACCCTCAAGTTTAAGAGTGCAATGGCGTCCTCTGGAGGTAATCTGGAAAACTAACACAGACAGCATATTTTATTTCATCTTAATGAAGTCATTGTCCACATGGGACATCATATTGTATAGTTATTAGTATCATCAGTGTCTTATCATTCACAGACATGCACGTTAAGGAGCTGGACAAGCGTGCTTCTGGACAAGCATTTGAGGTCATTCTGAGCCCCTCGGCACCAGACGCCAAGGGAGAATTCCCTCTGTCCACCCCAAAAAAGAAGGAGGTGTCTTTGGATGAGATCCAAAAGAAACTGGATGCAGCAGAGGAGAGACGTAAAGTAATAACATGATTGTAAATACACAGTTATTTATGCATAAATATGGAGTTGCATAAATATAGAGTGTTTTAATTAGTCTAATATTAGTCACATATAAATTTTCATATAATGTCTTCCTGAACAGTAGACTCTAAGGGCTCTTTGGTTATCCTGCTTGTCCCACTTTTTTTTAGCTAGTTTGGACATATGATGTAGTGATTATGATTATTTATAAAATTCTCTTCAGAATCATGAGGCAGAGGTCCTGAAGCACTTGGCTGAAAAGCGAGAGCATGAGAAGGAGGTTCTCCAGAAAGCGATGGAGGAGAACAACAACTTCAGCAAGATGGCAGAGGAGAAGCTCAACCAGAAAATGGAAGCAAACAAAGAAAACCGTACAAAACAGATGGCAGCGATGAATGAGAAATTTAAGGAGAAGGTAAGCCTTCATGGCTGAAATCTCTTATGTATAAGTCACAAAGCTTGGAATTAATCCTACTAATCACTTTGAGTTTCATTTTAGGACAAGAAAATCGAAGAAGTCCGAAAGAACAAAGAAACAAAAGATGGAGGCGAGGCTGAAGAGAACTGAGGGTTTTTTTCTTTCTTCTTTTGTGCTACTCAGTTTTAGGGATGGTATATGTTTTTTTTTTTTGTTTTTTTTTTACTTATCCAAAGATTTATTTTTGCTCCATTATATGGCCAGTATTATGTGTTTGTTTTGACACTTTTTAGCTAAAAGTTAGGGGAGAAGCAGGTGCATAATTATCTTTTTATCTTCCCGTGCTCAGACCTACTTTATATCTCCATCACCTGTAGAGTTGTCTACTTGCAGCTTTTGGCCTGTTAAATAAGCAGTCTTTTATCCTATTGGGAAGCATGCCTGTGTTACACATAGGTCTCTGGCTTTGTTTATTGCATTGTGCAAGTTGACCCGTACCTGTGTATGTCAAACCTGCAGTTCTTTGAGCTTAATAAAGTTGCACAGTTGCTTGTTATGTTTTAGAGTTTAACAGTTTTAGATCTGCCCTTTTTGTAGATGTTCATTTATGAACAAATAATATCTGTCTGCTTGTCTGTGTAACTCTCTTTCCATCTGGTTAACAAGCACATTCCTGCATTTACCTTGTCATTGGTAAACTTGTTAATATTTTTGGAGAAACACAGATCCGTACTAATATCACACTGCAGACAAATATGTGCATTGACAATATGACCTGTATTTGATATTGATAAACACACTTTCTATATTGGATGTACTTTATCTCTAAAGAAGGGAACCAAAAAAAGAGCACTCACGTACATATGCGTGAACATTTCCGGTAATGTTGAGCAGTGAGATCTAGTCTGTTTTGTACGTGTTGCTGACAGAGTAAAGAACAAAGTGAATTGTCACCAGAGGAACTGTACATCTCAAAGGCTGTCATTTTTTTGCATGTTGCAGTGTTTTTCCTCATCTGTTTATCTGGTAAAGTGCATTAGCTAGAACATTCTCCAGTAATTCAGCCCGTATCTATAGCTTTCCTACTCGAAGGTGTGGAGAACCGTGGCCTGCCGTTACTAAATGATTCAGAAAATATGACCTGTATTTGATATTCATAAACACACTTTCTATATTGGATGTATTTTATCTCTAAAGAGGGGAACCAAAAAAGAGCATTCACTTAAACGTGTGTGAACATTTCCAGTAATGTCAGGCAGTAAGGTCTAGTCTGTTTTGTAGGTGTTGACACCTAGTGGCCCATTTGAAGGCATGGCACTTTTTCATTCTTGAAATTGTTTTCTAAGAGGTTGCTGGGGAAGACGTGATCTGCAACTGAAACATCAGCTGAAAGAGGGTTTTTGATCAGCTTATACCCATGCAAAGCAAATCCGAGCTCATTTGACTGTCTTCAATAAAATAAGTTGTATGTTTCCACAATGTAAATACACTTTCATTTTTAAATACCATGCAATGAGATTTTTTTTTTTTTACATTTTTTTTACAAACCCAAAATTCCAAATCCAATTTCCAACACAATTAATCTTTATCTTGAATCTCCTGTTATGACTACAAAAATATTACATTTAATAAGGTTTTACATTACCACTTAGGCCTTTTTGTCTAAGTAGGCCAATTTTTCAATTTAGTAACGTAAAATGACTTAATCCTTTTGCAATTTCATGTACTCCTTTCTAGCACTGTCCATTTCCAGCATGAAGAATTAAAAAATGATTATGTCTGTGCTTGAAGTGTTGAAGTGTAAGTGTGGTTATTCAAATGTGGTGACGTTTTTGTTTCTGAACACATACTTAGTCCTGCTACGGATTTCAGTAATTTCCTCTTGCGAGATAAAGGCTTATTCTGGCCTCAGTGAAAGGGCCAGATCGCACAAGACATTTGTGGTCATTCGAATTATGTAAGATTGGCTATATTAGCACTAGCTTTTAGCCATAACCACAAAATCTGCCCACTTATGTCAAACCAACCTCCAGGTCAGCATGGCTGAAGATCCCATGCAGTACCTATTACGATGTATCGTAAATGGCACAGTTACAGAGGGAATAGAAAGTGGAGAAATGCTTCATGGACCTGCTGTGTGTAAGTTTTTGATGAAGGAGCTCTATTCACACACAGAGGCCTACAAAGCCACATTGTTAACATCATCCGCCTGTGTGTGGGCAAACAGCACATTTCCACACAAGTCCCAAACCAAGAGGGACAAAATACACCAGACAAACACCTGCTCCTACTCTAGACCTACAAAAAGCAAGAAATAGACAAATAAATAAAAATATGAATCTTCTAGAACATTGTCTGCATTTGAGCAAAAAAAAAAAAAAAAGTAAATAATTAAACACTTGTGTACAATAGACCTACATAGGTCTATTCTGCATGTCACATATAAACACTTGTGTGTTAGACTGAGACACATTTCACAATATCGTGTGAATATGATATGAATTCATATCATAGCTGAAATATGACAAGTTTTTGACGTTAATAAACGCACTTCCGCCCTGAATTCCGCATCTTTATTCTAGCTACAAAGCGACGTTAATAGGAAGTAGGCGGGTCCTTTTCACCCTCTTCATACATTGTAGCCTAGACCTAAAGGCTGCGGTCTATTAAACCTCTCTCCCATTGGTGGATTAGCAACGTACGCGCTTGCGTTAGTCACAGCGCGCTGTTCTGATTGGCTGAGCCGCTTGTCTTTCTTTCAACGTTGTGGACAACTCGGCCGTCTGGTTCTGCAGGGCGCTGACAGGAGCCTCACCCGCTGGAAGATTTATCAACAAATATTTAGCTTTCATCATGTGTGTGTTTCAGGGCTTCAGCAGCGCGTGTAGAAGGTCGTGCATAAATCCGTTTTCGCTGATTGGCTCGTGAAAAGGTAAGTTTCCATCCATGCAGACGAGTGAGAGAAAATACCTAATGTTAGTTATCCTTATTTTGTCTGATTAACATGAAGCGCTTTTTTTTTTTTTATTATTACTAGAATAAATGTTTTTCATGTAGCATGATATCGCTGAAAGAGTAAGTATCTGCTCCAAGGGTAAAGAACAAACTGAATTGTCATCAGAGGAACTGTCATTTCCCCCTCATCTGTTAGTGTGCTGAAGTGCAGTAGCTAGAACATTCTGCACTCATTCAGCCTGGAGCTGCAGCTTTCCTGCTGGAGGCTGTGGAGAAGCCTGGCCTGCTGGTCTGCTGGTCTGCTGGTCTCCTGGCCCATGCCATCATTCCGAGAGCTTCACTGCTCATGGTGCCAGATTTTTAAACCTTCCAGCTAATTTACACACACTTCACTTCTCTACTGCCTTTGTCTCTCTAACAGGCGAATTTCACCACATTTAGTGCCAGCTTGTGACAAAACACAGTTCAGCGTTGAGAAATTACACACTTACCTTCACTCACATTAGCTATTTACCTTTCTCCAATGCTTGTTCTACATAATTGTCTTATTTTATTCAGTTACTATTTACTAGTTTCTACTTCGTAGTGTCAGTCATTTATGACTGTCCAGATTGGAAGTATCAGCATAAAATTCGCTTAATCCAGGTTTACACAGTAAGATTTTCAGACAGATTTTGCTGTTGCAGGTTGCCAACCTATCGCAGGGCACAATCTCTCTCTCTCTCTCTCTCTCTCTCTCTCTCTCTCTCTCTCTCTCTCTCTCTCTCACACACACACACTCACACTCACATGCTATGGACAATTTAGAAATGCCAGTCAGCCTACAACGCATGTCTTTGGACTGGGGGAGGAAACCACCGAAGCATGAGGAGAACATGCAGGCTCTGCAAACGCAGGGCAGAGGTGGGAATCGAACCCCCAACCCCGGAGGTGTGAGTCAGACATGCTAAACATTAAGCCACTATGCTCCCAGACAGAAAAACACATCTTAAAAGAATTCTTGGGTTGTGAGTTGAGCTGATTTAGTGCCAATGCAAACAAAGACAGCAGCTGACAGCATAGTTCAGGCAGGGTCACAAGTTTTTGTTTAAATTCTCAGAATGTGACCGCTGTTGCGATACTCATCTGAAAGCCACGAATAAGAGAGTAGCACAGGATCAGGCGAAATGTAGAGAACAGCTACGAACACGTTGGTGACACTGGACAATGGAAACATAAACAAAACATGTAAATGGACAGATTATTATCTCAAACTCACTTTGAAGAACACTTCTTGTTACACACTCTCATTCTCAGCATGAGCCCAGATCACACTTTGACTGATGACATGAGCAGAATGTAGTCATTTGCTTCAATTGCTGGTCTATCTTTAGTGGAGATTCATCATATAATATGACATGGAAAACACATGCTATCTCACAGCCTGTTATAGAATTCAGCCCAGGTTTTTATTGGGATTGGGATTGTAAGGTGTAACAAGTCGTAGTCTTAAAAGAGTGCTGAAAAACAGGTTTACACTTGCAAATTTTCCATGACTAAATTTGTCTGAAAAGCTACAAAGGTTACGTTCAGTGTTAGGGACTTGGTTACTGCTTATTTCAACCGAGTCCAAACTTCTCATGAGATCAGATTTCATAAAGACATGTTTTTGATAGATTTACTGAAAATGCTCACTCATACCACTCCAGGATGTCTGACATGTACTTTACAGGCCGAGTTGGTCAAAGACCATTTTTGGCAGCTTGTAGAAGAAAGGAATGCTTTTGATTTGAATGAATTTTTAAGAAAATGACAGCAGAAAGGCAATTAGAATATCTCTAACTTTTATTCATGGCTTATGATCATGGCTTAGTTTCCCAAAAACCTGGCAGCACGAGTTCATCGTTACATGGTAGAGTGAGCATCATGCTGAACACTCTCTCTACCAGTTAGGGTTATATTAACTATGTATTAACTATATAATTAACCCTGATATTAATTTGACAGTGCTTTTGGAAACGTCAACGCAGTTGAGCCAAGTAATTAGGAAGCTGGAAAATAACTTACCAGCTGGCAAAGATGGCCTACCTGTTTGACCAGCATGGCCTGTCTTTTGCAACTGATCAGCCAGGTAGCAAGATGTTTTACATGTGTAAATGTCTACGTCTTTCCAAGCCACAATTGACAATAAACGCCCCTCCTAATACATTAAGACATAATGAATGCGGTCCATGACTGCCTATGTTGAAGCTTTAAGGAGAAAAACCACATGCAAAATTGTAGTTTGTGATCTGAAAGCAGTCGTTTGCATACAACAACTGGAAACGAGGTACCCGCAGGATGTTGGTGGTCACTTGTTATGGGCTGATTTTCATATTATATGGTACAGTAAACAGATTTCATCTGAACTAGATCTGCGTTGGATTACAAGTGGAATTGTACTGATAAGATTGTTAAAATCTTATCAGTATACAAGACCAGATCTAAACATCCTCACTGGCATGCACTTTTCTAAATCTGCTTTGTGTTATAAGTGTTATACAAATAAAATTAACTACATTGAACACTGGTCAATACTTCAAAGACCAATAGAACAAGAGTGATCGTTCACCATGATGTTTTTTGCTTTTACACACTACAGATCCCAGGGTGTGCAGCTTTATTCACATTCACTATGGCGACCGTGGTGATGGAGCAGATTGGCCGTTTGTTTATAAATGTGCAGCAACTGCGTCAGATCCCCCAACTGCTCGAGTCTGCCTTTCCCACTCTGCCATGCACTGTGAGCATCAGCGATGTGCCCCGCGTCTTCAGGGAGTCGCACATCCTCACGGGCTACCGACCACCTGACCACAGCTGGCGCTATTACTTCCTCTCACTCTTCCAGCGGCATAACGAGACGGTAAATGTGTGGACGCACTTGCTAGCCTCGCTTGTCATACTCGTCAAGTTCCAGGAAGTGTCAGAGACGGTGGACTTCCTGCGTGACCCACATGCGCAGCCGCTCTTCATCGGTCTCCTGACTGCTTTCACCTATCTGGCCTGCAGCACTCTCGCCCACCTGCTCTCTGCCAAGTCTGAGCTCTCCAATTACACTTTCTTCTTCCTGGACTATGTGGGCGTAGCTGTGTACCAGTATGGCAGCGCCCTGGTGCATTTCTACTATGCAGTGGAAGAAACGTGGCATGCTCACATTCGAGGCTTCTTCTTGCCCACTGCTGCTTTTATGGCATGGCTTTCGTGCACTGGTTGCTGCTGTGGCAAGTATGCCAGTCAGCACCTGCCCAGGTTCGGCCACAAGTTCTGTCAGATGGTGCCCTCAGCCCTGGCCTACTGCCTAGATATCAGCCCAGTGGTGCATCGCATTTACACGTGCTACAGTTCACAGCAGGGTTGCACTGACCCAGCTGTAACTTTCCACTTTTATCAGATCCTCTTCTTTCTGGTCAGTGCCTTCTTCTTCTCTTACCCTCATCCAGAGTGCTGGTTCCCTGGGCGCTGTGACTTTATCGGCCAGGGCCACCAGATCTTCCACGTGTTTCTTGTGTTGTGCACCCTGATGCAGATTGAGGCTGTGCGCTTGGACTACACTGAGCGAAGGCCCTTGTACGAGCGCCTGCACGGTGACACATTGGCTCATGATGCTGCGGCTCTCTTCGTCTTCACAACGTGCTGCAGTGCCCTCACCGCCTTCTATGTGCGGAAGTGTGTGAAAGCCTACCTTGAGGAAAAACAAGAATAACCTGCCACCATTAAAAAGCAGGAGTGAGGAGACTTGGGAAGGCAAGAATTGAGCGGGAGACTTGGAGCAAATGATCGCACTGGTATACTAGTTATGGACTTTATGCAAGTTATGGACCCTCTGTCATTTAATCACATTTTTGGTGGTGGGGAAAGGAATTGGAGTGTGAGCCTTGTATTTGTTTGTTGGACTACCAAAATGTATTTTTAATCAGTGATGTACTGTACACAACATTTATTGTTTAAAACAGGAAACTAAAGGAAACAAGTAGAGAGATTTTACTCCAATAAAATCTACTCTAAAGGCTTCTGAAAGTCCAGTTTCATGAATGTGTGATCTGTTTTGTGGGTGCAAAGGCACTGTGGACTGAATTGCAAAAATGTTGATGGACTAAAATTCTGACCTCAGCTCAGATGGCGTACTATGCATATTTTATTGTGAGTAATGTGTTCACATTGTGAAACCTGAGATGTAGTAAAAGTTAATACCCTGCTAATGGACTACAACCTCTCAAAAAGGTGTGGGCACTTTTTGCCCACCAGGGGGGGCTGTAGTTTATGTTTTACTTAAAAGCAGACATAATTGAGAACACTGCTAAACGAGATATTTTTGTTACAAAAATTTTGCTGTTCTGGTGTAGTTTTAATGATGTGAGGTACTGTATGGTAAAGGCAGCCCTTACTGTCACATATACAAGTACAGTACAGTAAAATTCTTTCTTGCTAGGGACCAGGGGGCAGAGCGCAAGATCAGTCACTGATAAGACACCTCTGGAGCAGGCAGGGTTAAAGACCTTGCTCAAGGGCGAGGAGTGGGAGCTTGCCAGTGCTGGGATATGAAATCAGTACCTTCTTATCAGTTGGCCAGAACCTTAACCACTGAGCCTCCACTGCCTCCATAAGTTAGTGTTTGACTTGAGATGTTATAACCTTGCAAAAATTAAGTACTACTTACGTAGTGTATAGTAGAGATGTTTGCAGGACATCTAAAAATCCCATCCTGCAGAAATGAACTAAGTTGCAAAAACTCCCATCCTGCTCTTGCAGAAAGTTTGACCAGTCCCACCTGCTCCTGCGGTTATGTTTGCCTCTGCTTACTGTATTTACTAATGAACTTAGTTAGATATGTTTCCCAAAATGTAAATAAATAAGTAACTGGAACCACAGTACCCCTGGCCAGATAAAGCAGTTACAGCAAATGAATGACTGAACATGGTGAATGCATTACACGGTGTCCTGACGCACACCTCTAGTGTATAGTGTATAGAACATATTGCATAATACGCCATTCGAGACACAGCTCTAGTCTCAAAAAAGCCAATCAAATTTTGTACACCATCCATGTTCTTCTTGTAAAACATTCTCAGTGTAATGCTCCTGATCACGTTTGTATAGCAATAGGGAAGGAGCATGAGAAATGGGATCTGTAATGAGTTTGACTCAAAGAAGGTCACTTTATTGGTGCTTTAAAGGCATTTAGGGCATAGCTGCTAGAAGGGACTTTATAAATCAATTTTTACGTCCTTAGATTGGCAGAAAATAACGATACCGTTCTGCTTTAGTGCATCATATATTTGTAAGCTACAAAACAGCTTGAAGCTGACTGGTGACTTGCCTTCATTCATTAACTGTTGTTCATAAGCATCTCTAAACCAGGAAATGGTCCATAATTGTGTAAATGCAATCACTGAGAGTTATTTGTGTGTCTCTAAAAACTGCCACTTGATGTTGCCCTGACAGATTGAAATCAGTATGCCTGTTCTTTTCAGAAGGCACATGTGCCAACATGCTTTATACGGCTGACAGAGTTCTACTTCGCACTGCAGTAAACTAAGATAGTTTTCATAATTTATGTTTTTTTTTGAGAATGAAAAGACAGAAAGACTTGAAGAGATGAACATTATGTAAAGTTGAAAGTCCATCCAATGTTGATTGAACTGATTCAGTACTGATGTTTACTTTATGATGTCAATTATTAACATCTGTTCACAGGGGCTTTAGAGAAACGGATTGCATGCCCTTGATAAGTAACTAAGTGATGCCTGCTTTTGTCTTTACGATGTTAATTTGGAATTCAAAGGGCTACAGTGTTGAGTTTTGCCTTTTAACACTTCATGATGTCAATGCCATTGTGCATATTGTTACCTGGTTGAAGTGTTTAGTGTTGTAGTGTGTGTTAATGTGCCTGAATATGTGCATGCATCTATGTGGGCCAGTGAACGTACAGGTGTGGTGAGTGTGTGCAGCT